GATCTCTGAGCTCCCTTCCCATTCTAACATTCTCTAAGTCTAGTTGAACACACAGGCCCTAATGAGGGGCAAGAAACATTAGGACCCTTTGTAAGCAAATGTGTGTCCTGTCTCTGGTAAATGTACAATATTCATTTGAAATATTTTACTCCTGATGTCATTTTATCTTTGCATCTCATTTTCCTTTTCCTCCACACTTTTTATGTTTTAAGATTCCCTCTAGTATAATTTCTCAAGTGGCAATTCATGAAAATAAAATGAGAACAGCAATAAACAAAAAGATAACTGCTCAGATTGATTCATGTTCTTCAGAACAATGCCTTTACCTCATATACCAAAAATATTATTATAGGCTTTACAGAAGAGACTGAGGGATGGGACAGAAACATGGGCTGTAGCCCTGCCACACCCTGCACTCACATGCTCTTATCTCCTCGGGGCAGGAGTTCTGTGAGGCAGTGGTGAGAATGGACTGCAGAGTCACTGAGGCCAGTTCCAGGGGTCAGCAAGGTGAATGGAAGTGCCTGTACTTTAGATCCAGGTTGGCCTGGATTCCAGTCAGCCCCTGGACAAATAATGTAGAATCTCTAAGTTCTGATTTCTTCATCTGAAAGTGGAACCACCTTGTGCATTACTGGGGGTGGTTCAGAAGATTGAATGAGTTGATATAGGTGAAAACACCTAATAGAATGCTCAGAGCTTAGTAAGCATGCCACATATTTTGGTTTCATTCCTTCCTTGCCTGCTTTTCCCTTTTGCAAACACACCTCATTACAAACTAAGAAAATGTGTACTTTTGACAACCATAAACAAAAGAAATGATGCCTGGTTGTAGTGTGGCACAATTCCAAGTTGTCACCAATTATTGTTAGCAATATCACACAATGTTCAAATTATAATTCATTTTAACTTAATTATTTTAAAATACTATCTGGATAAAATGGCTGATGTCACAAAATTAAATAGTAATAACTTTAGCAGTTATGAAGAGGTTGGGAATCCCCACAACAAAAAAAGAGAGAAGTGGAACTTTGACATTTAAGAAAGAACCAGATACGATCTTCAAAACTGAGAACCAGTTACAATAAAAGATAAATACAAACACAGCACTTGCCTTATCATTTTTCATGCTGGTTCAGTGATTAAGGTCACAATACAGTAATTCCTATAATAAACTGTATAGGACAGTTTCACATACAAAAGTATTATAGTAGAAATGAAAGGTAATGGGACAAGTAATTTTTGTTCTAATAATAGTTGGACAGTTCAGCATAAAGATAAATGCCATCTCTATTTTCAAGACTACATATATGAATCTTAGCTAATTATAAGAGGATACAGTAAAAATTAATAATGGACTAAAGATACCCAAAATAATTTTTTAAAGTCTCAAATTTCCAAATCTATTTAAGTTGAACTAGGAAGACATATACAAATAGGAAGAGAAATTTTATATAACATCTTATTGTTAGAGATGAAAGGCAAATTCTGAATTTAATCATTACTGAGCCTACATACAATACAAAACATCACTTCAACTTAAGCTTTGTATAAACTTTGGAAGTAAAAATTAATTGTCAGAAGTTGGTAATGGGACACCCAACATGAAATGTGGATAATTATCAGCATTTATTCTTTTCAGGTACTGGGGCATGGTACAACTATGGCAAAAATCCCTCTTCTCATAGAGTTTAACTATTAGTGCAAAAATTTCTTTTTAAGTGAATTATATAATATGTTAGAAGATAAAAGGACCATTAAGGAAAGTAAAGCAAGAGAGTACATAGCATATCTATGATATACTTGGGAAATGATTGGATTTTGAGAATTAGGAATATCTGAAGGGTGTTTATGGGTATTAATAAGGAGAAATTAGGATGAACAGAAACTTTAATGGAGATTAGAGAGATTAAATGCAGATTATGGCAAGGGAAAGGGGAAATTACAATAATCGAATCTCAAGGTTGTCCGAAGTCCTAGGTTGTGTTTAGGAAATCTTCACTCTTCAGATTAGGACGCAGAAATCCTGAGAGTTCAAAGAATATAGAAAAGGAATCAAATAGGAATAAAGATATCTTAAAATAGTATTCATCCCTTTCGGTTAACACTTTTACCTATCCTAAGTGTAAATATTTTTATGACCTAGAACCAAGTGTCTACTGAAGACAGTGCTTCTAACTGTCAGGGAGAGCATAAGGCTGTTGGTCTTACCTGTCGCCATCAGACGTAAAGCCATCCCTGCCAGTGGATGAGTGTGAGAAAGTCTCTGTTACACAAACTCATTCTGCATGCACTGCAGCAGGGTCTGGGCTGAGAGGAGTGGCCTGAAATACCAATCCCAGTTTTTCCAATTCTGGGGGTCTGGAGGTGAGTGCCCTGGCAGGGCTTCACCCATTGTGCAGGCAAATGCTTCCCCTGGTGATGTTTAATAGAATGGAAACTTTAAGAAGAATTTGTACTTCATCTGATGGTGAACAGAAATCATCAGCCTGGAGGTCTGACCACTGGGAACCAACAGCAGGAGTCAATTCTTAAATGAACCAGAAGAGACCATTTTTTAGAAGGTGGCAACCCAGTTTCCATGAACTGTTCTTCATAGGTCACAGTGTGGACTCTGTGGCTTCTAAGGACATTCTGGGCTTAAAAGTCACCATGACTTCAGTATATTATCTAGTTTCCTGAGGCCTATGACTCCTGGAGGAAGAAAACTGGAACACTCATCTGTCACGGGTTCTTCCCCTTGTGCCCATCCTTGGTGCCCTTCCTCTGGCTGGGACAGATAAGAGGACTCTTTCATAGAGTTAGTGGAATCTACCTCAAGGGCTGGAAGCCAATAAGTCAGGTACATATCCATCAACACTAAGGGCTGGTAACAAGGGTTCAAATAGCAGCAAATTTCCTGTTGGATAATAAGTAGAACAGTAGAGATGCAATATAGCGGATAAAAATCTTAGTTTCCTGGGTTTTATTGCAATAAATGAAATAATTATAGTAGTGATAATGATACAGCACACTTTAGCTTTGGGAAAACTAAAATTGACGTCAGGATTACAAATTATTACAATTTCTAATGCATTAATCATAATCCTTTTTTACTTAGATTAATGTATTTACAGGGAAGCTTGATATTGTCCCAAATTTAATGCCAAGAAAACTTTACAGCACCAAAAATGTTCAACCAGAAAGCAGTGCATTCATTTTGATCATAAGGTGATTTGACACCTGTCAGCAGGCAGATTTGCTGTTGTGCCTTTTCCCTAACTTGGAGAAAGTCCAGAAAGGAACACAGAAAATGACCAAAGGGATTGGAAATAGAGTCTAGGAGGAGAGTTTAAAAGGTTGCTGACTTTGGTTGGAGAAAGATGAGAAGGCTAGAAGTTAACAATTATAATGGCTTTGAAGGTTACAAAGAGTTCCTACTCATAGTCATCCATCCATCCATCCATCCATCCATCCATCCATCCATCCATCCATTCATTTGCTCATTTATCTGAAGTGCCATGCATTGTACCAGGAACTGGGAAACATAGAGAAGGACAAAAGAAAGGAAGACAGAACAAAGTCCTTGGCTTCAAAATTCTCTTCTTCACTGCCAGTGATTACAAACTGAATAATATTGAGTGTAGGATTGGACACAAGTCAAGTAGGAAATAAGAATGAAGTGAAGGGATTTGAGAAATTGAAATGCTTGCCAAAGCCAAAGTAGCAGTTAAAATAAATACTTACTACCATTTATTTTTTAAAATAAGAACTATGGCTGTTCAAATGGTGAAGTAATTTTAAGTGCTGGTTGGGAGAATTGCCATCAGAAAAGAAATTATAGCTTCAATTTTGTAGTTTGGAATATTCTATTATAGGCCTTGCACGGTCAGTATAAAGTAAGGCAAATATTTTGTGGTTTCCATTCTGCTTTTCATGTATGCTGTATGATTCATATCATGTTCTATCCAGGCCACAGAAGTGGCAGAAAAGGAAAAACCAATGGTGGCATCTCTTCCCACCACAGTGAAGTTAACAAAAAACCGACTGGCCATGTTTACCAAGAAAATGAGTATGTACAATTTCACAGTAACCAGCTATGTTAAGTCTTGAGTTCCTCTTACGCCACGGTTTCTTGGAATTGCTCAACTTTTGATTAACTGAGAATTATTATCATTTAGGACATATAAAATTGTGATTCTACATCACAGTTACAGTGGTTGTTTTTCACTTACTTTATTTAAGTAAAGACAAACTAGTGTCTAGACAAATAATAAGCAAACAAGACAAACAAGCGAGTATAGACAAGATGATCTGAATACCAAGATAATGTGTTCGTTCTTTGTTTCATTTGTTGTTTAAATTGAATTTCCCGTTTGTACTCTAACTTAAATTTTCTGGTTGGACTCTAACTACTCAAACAGAAAGTTAGAATTTTCCAGCCATACTTAAGTCCAGTTGAAAAAAGTTATAAGAAACGAAGACAAGAGAAACAAAATTTTATGATGAAATGTAAGAATTTCTCAGGAGAGTAATTCCCAGTCAATATTTTCAATATTCAGTGATCTTGGTGGAAATTTAGGTATGAATTTTATTAATACCGAAAATGATCTTTTATGGGACTCCCCAGTATGCAAACTGCCCATACCTAAAATTATGAGGAATCAAAGGTTCTTACCTTTGTTCTTTACTGTATATATTATAAAATGAATAGACCATTTTAAAGAAATTGTGTACTTTTAATCAATCCATTAAATAACATTTTGAAAAAACTACTTTGTACAAAGTAGATTGTTTTCTCTTGAATACTAAATTATGTATTTTATTATTATATATTATATATTTGTATTATATATATAATTTATTAATGTAGCATATGGATAGTAATCAGAGATATTTGTTTCTAGACATATCCAATTGCATATCATAAGCACATAATTCAATAGAAGTGACAACTATTCAATTGTCCCTCCTCCTTCCTGACTTCTCATAAGTCAAGTACTTATCTATTCATAACTTACCTGTTTCGCTTCCAATCAAAGGCTGATTTGCAAAATGCTTGACAAAATCCTTCAAAGATGAGAATTCATTAAAACCAAATTTAAATGAATATCCTGTATATTCAACATGGAAGTGTTTGACAGAGTCTTTGGCTCTGAAAGGAAAAAAAGTTTAATATTATTTAACAAATGAATATGTTTTGAAGGGAAATATAACCCTAGATATTAGCATCACCATTAAGCCATTCTAAAAACTGGAAAGTATGACATAGTCATTGGAACCACTGGGATTTCTTAAATACTCACTTCTTTTGGTAGAATGTGCTCTTCTCAATTTTTCACTCTCATGGAAGATAAGCGACAATTCTCTCTGTGAATTCTCTAACTTCCCGAAAGAGTCCTTGAACGTAACCCCCTTGAGGGGCATGACTTTAAGAAGGGCAGGGAATAAACAGATAATGGAAATGGCAGGTCACACTCTTCCCAGATTCTCCTCTGTCCTTGGCCCTCCTTCCTTCCCTGCTGGGACTCAGCACAAACTCTGCTTAATTGGTTGCATGACCCCAGCCTTTACCTCCCATGCCCGTTCCACTGCCTACTGATTAAAACATCAAATTTCCTATCTTCTCATTTTCCACCTCATTCTTGGAAAGAGGCAGAACATTAAATAAATTATATATATATATATACACACACACACACACACACTTATATATACATAAATGTATATATAAACTTTATATGTCTAAATATATATATATATATTAGATATATAATGTTATGTATATAGATGTTTTTAAAATTTGAATCCCACTATTCCTCTCCTCTTTATGCAAGGCAGGAGCTAACTTTAACATACATCAGAAATCAGAATCATTTGGAAGACTTGTTAAAATCCAGATTTCTCTGGACCCTACCCCATGAATTCGTAGGTCTAGGGTGTGACCCAAGAATTTGCCTTCCTCACATGTTCTCAGGTACTGCTACTGGCCGGGGAACACACCGTGGGAACTGCTGCTCTCCTCAAGTCCGACCAGACCTGCAGTTCTCCTAGGCGTTTCCCCTTTGTCCCTCAGCTCATACAGTTTCCTTCATCTGCCACATCTTCCCCTTTGTTTCTGATCAAGTGTTGGTGCAAATACCACCTACTCTGTGAAGTGTTGCATGTTACATACAGCTTGAGTTACTTGTTTTTTCCCTTCTCAGCAGCCCAAGTATTTATCTTACTTTCTTTCATGTCATTACTGAACTCTCCTTTGTAGTGAGGTATTTGTATATCTTGTGTTGCCCCTGTGAGGCTATACTTGCTGAAGGCAAGGTCTTGGAATCTTCTGCCCTTATCAAACTGGTTGGCATAGAGTGGATGCTCTTAAGTATTTATTATTAAGGGAATGAATGAATGAATGAATGAATAAAAGCAATCATTCTCTTTAACCGGTGTGTGGTTCCTGTTACCTCTGCTGGTGGTTGTTCTTTTAAAAAGCATTTCCAAGTGCTTGTAATGGAAGTTAATACCTTATATGTAAATTTTTATATAGACATAATATATATATACCATCTATTTGTAAGGAGCTCTGATCTGCTTGTTCAGATGACACACACATAGGTGAAAAGTTAACATTCTTTGATCCAATAATACTATGGGTTTGTTTGAGATTTTGGGAGACCCATGCAATAAAGAATCTACAGCCTAACTACTTGATAAGCCTTTAATATTTGCTGTCAATCAGAGAAAGCACAATTCCTGCTTCCAGCCAAACAGAATTCCATTTTTTATTAAATTTCTCCAAAATGGAAAAACAAATGCCAAATGATTTCCATCATGTGTGGAGTATAACAATGAAGCAAAACTGAAGGAACAAAATGGCAGCAGACTCGGCGACCCCAAGAATGAACTATTGGTTACCAAAGAGGAGGGGTGTGGGAGGGCAGGTGGGGAGGGAGGGAGAAGGGGATTGAGGGGTATTACGTTTAGAACACATGGTGTGGGGGATCACAGGGAGAACAGTGTAGCACAGAGAAGGCACATAGTGGATCTGTGGCATCTTACTACACTGATGGACAGTGACTGCATTGGGGTGTGGGTGGGGACTTGATAATATGGATAAATAAAAATAAGTAAAAAAAAATAATAAATTTCTGTAAAATGTTACTTAGAAAATCTGTAAGTAAAATACAGCAGAGTAACATTTGAAAAATGTTAATGAATGTTTTTCTTCTCTATGACCCTCTTATTTCCTATTCCCTTTCAAGAAGGCCCGTAGGTTTGCACTATCACACTAGCACCACAGACTTCCATAGGAATGGAAGGTGTGGTAAGGCAGCCTTCCAACACAGCCCTGAGATTCTCAGCCCCTGGAGCCTGTACACCTTTTACCAAATATTCAGAAAAATGCTGATGTAGATGCTGCTGTGAGGTATTTTGCAGGTAATAAAGGCCCCAAATCAATTTACCTTAAAATAGGGAGATGACTAGGCTAGGCCTGACCTAATCATATGAGAGTTTGGGTAAAAGCAGAGCTTTTTCTGGCTGGTGGCAGAAGAGATCAGAGAGACATGCTCTGGCTGGCTTAGAAGAAAGCAAACCTCCATTTCATGAACTGTTCTATGGGCAGGGGGCAGAGGGGGGACACCCAGTAAGGGACTGCAGGTGGCCCTTAGGAGCTGGGAGTGGTCCCTGGCCAATAGCTATATGGAAAATGGGGAGCTCAGTCCTACACCAGCAAGGAATTGACTGAAAAGGAATGGAGAGGAAAGGAGAGCACGAAGGACAAGGACACAGCCCCCGAGAAGCCACAGCCTTGGCCAGCACCTTGATTTCAGCATGTAGGAGCCTGACCAGAGAATCCAGCCACATCAAGCTTAGACCTCTGACATACGGAAACTGTGAGATAGTCAATTTATGTTGTATAAAGCCACTAAGTTTTGAGGTAATTTTGTTATATAGCAGAGAAAACACAGATGGTCCCCAAGCCCAAAGAGAAGATAAAAGAATGTGTTAATTCTTGGCTTTTGAGCTCATAGAAGCCTGCCATCAATTGTTTAAGGAAACAATTTTATAGCCAATTTTCCCCCTTGTCAGAGAAAGAGGAGCTTTAAAAACAAAACGAAAACCCCTGTTGCTAAGCTGATGGAAAAGAAGATTTAGGGAGTGTAGCTGTTGCAGCTGAGTTAGCGACAAGGAGGCCTGTACCATGCGAAACAGGAAAGAGAAGAGAGAGGTTCTTGTGCCAGGTCATTGCGAGGGACTGCGACATGAAGGGAACCTGCACTGTCAGAACAGACATGAAACAGTAATGGTTTGAAGTTAATGGGTGGGTGGCCCAGGCAATTTCAGGGAGTCCTCACATTCCAGTCTAAGCCAAGGGTAAGTCCCCAAGAAGCCAAAAAGACTTGCTACATGCCCGTGGAAGCCTGGGTGACAGATGCTGGTTGAGACCCACCAGCTATCCCTGATTTTCATATGGCTGGTCAATTTCTCTGAGAGAGGTCAGTCAGGAGGAAGGTGGACAATCAATGTTCAGAGCTGCGTGTACCTCGTAGGGGCTAGATTAATTTTCTTAACATTCAGGGGACATGGAGCCTTGAGAAAGAACATCAGTCCATTTATAGAACAAATTAAAATTTGTATTATTGTCTGCTTGAGTTTGTGATTATAAAAGTTGCACAGCCACCAATCATTCTGATTTTCCCAAGGAAGCAAGGCATATTAAAAGGGCACTGAGCTAGGTTTCAGGGGCTTGGACTGTGGCACCACTTCTATCAGTGATTTATTGCGTGCAAGAAACTTTACCACTTCAGGTTTCAGTTTCTTCATCAGTCAAGCAAGAGGTTTGGATTAAACAATGCACAAAGTCTCCTTAGGCTCTGACATTGTTTCCTTGCTTGGAAATGAAGGAGTAACAATGCTTTTTATAGTCTCAGCATTCTGAGCTTGGAATCCTTGGACCTGCTGTTCTAACAGGAATCAAAAGAATTTTATTATCTGGCAATTTGAGTGTGATGATGAAGTCAGTGCCTATGAAAGTAAGAGATGGGATCATGTTGAATTCAGAGAGTTCTTAAGCATCCTACCTTACAGAGAGAGAGTACAGCCCGGTCTTTTCATTGCTGTCCCTCAGAAGGTAGCTGCCGTCACATCCATTTGAGAGGAGAAGGGCCTCGGCCGCGTGGCGTGTGAGGTCGCCGTGATACCACCTGGGGAGGAGAGAGCCGTGCTTTAGCTCAGGACAAACCACAGGGGTCTCTTCCTTCCCTGGGTTTTCCTCTCAGAGATTACCTCAGCAACAGTCTCCATCATGGATAATCCAGAGACCAAGCTCTCAGTCAAAACATTAGGACAAGGAAATGGGGGCCATGGCTGGAGGGGACAGGAGAGAGTCTTAGCTAATAGCAGAGTGTTAGGGGTTGAATTGTGTCCTGAAAATTCATGTTGAAGTCCTAACTCCCGGTACCCGAGAATGTGACCTCATTTGGAGTCAGCGTTAGCAAGTGGTAATGAATGAGGTCATTAGAATGGGCCCTAATCCAATATGACTGGTGTCCTCTTGTAAAAAGGGGACCTTTGGAGAGAGATTTGCAAACAGGGAGAACGCCATGTGAACGCGAAGGCAGGCATCTACAGGTCAGAGAGCGTGGGGAAAAGATCCCCCTACCCCAGCCCCAACCCTGAGAGGAACCAACCCCAAAGACACCTTGATTGCAGGCTTCTGTCCTCCAGGACTGCTGCGTAGCCACTTATTCTGCAGTCCATTGTCAGGGCAGGCCCTAGCGAGCCAGCATGCAATATTACTTTGCAAACAGAAAAAGCTTTTTTAAACTCCAAGTCAAAAATAACTAGTTAGTATAGACTTTGGCCAAATTTTTCTTTCTTTTGGTCTCTCTCTTTCTTTCACTGTCTTTTCCAAGTGTGGTCTCACCTTTTGCATGTGGGAAACCCCTGAGTTATTATACCAGAGCTCATTGCCACGAGTGAGGTGAAGCTGAACACAAGGAGCACAGAGCATCTCACCCTGAGATGCAAGCCCCATCAAATATTGTTTCAGCAGGACAAATATTTGAAAAGCTGGGGAAGTCCCAAGGAGATACAAATTGATCTGTGTGCTGCTAAATAAAGTTTGTTTTAGAAAAGATAGCATATATCTACGGTACAAGAAAAAACATCTAAATTGTTCCAAAGAAGTCACCTCCAAAGAAGTGAAAATAAAGCTTTTTCTCACCCTTATTCCTTAGTCCCCCTGTTCCCTTCCCAAGAGAACACCGGTGTTAACCATTTTCCTGTGTTTCCTCCTGAGAGATACCCTACAAATCTAGAGCCATTTGGGTGTGTCTCGCCCTTTCTTAATTCTGAGGAAATAAGACCATTCTAGGCACACTTCTGTTTCCCTTAACGGCAGATCTGTCACATTCTTTTTAGTGACTTGGCAGAGGTACCTCAGGGTGGTCATTCAGACGGTGGTCCCTAGAGTCAGTTTGTCTGGGTCCCTGTCCAGGGGCTTTCTCTTACTAGCTGTTCAACCTTGGACAAGTTGCATTACCAACTGGACCCTCAGTTTTCTCAGCTCTAAAATGGGGTTTATAATAGCTGTACCCTGTGGGCCAGTTGTGAGTACCATTCACATTAACACACCTGAAATGATTCAAACAGGCCTGGCAAACAGCAGAACTTAGTACACATTAGTTATTATGAAGCTGTTGAGATCCACAAAGCCATACTATGTGATGTTTCTTCTGTGGTCTGATTTTCTTGTTGCTCAAATATAATTTTGTATTACTTTCCATTTATTGCAGATAACAGCTGTATTTCTTTTCAATGAGATCTAAAGTCTGTGTTTAAAGCATTTATACAATTCTTCTGATAATTATAGTTTGATGGCAGTTTTTACTAGGAACTTTTTATGGTAATCTTTTATAAACTATATTTAATTAATCAATAATGAATGCTTCAGTATAAAGCAAGAAGAACCATACTGTGCTCCAATTGGAACATCTCAGTCAGTGTTAATTCGAGATGGCAGCTTGGTTGAGTCAACGTTGCTCTCTCTTGAGTTTGATGGGGTCCTGGGCCTGGACAAACCTAAGACAAAGCCTGCCAGGCAGCTGCCCACACTTGGTGATGTTTGTGGAGCAATGAAGATCCTCATTTCCCCAAACAGCCAAATAGCTGTACCACAAATACTTGAACTTCCTTTTTTAATTGAGTTAAGCATTTCTTTTCTAGAAAACTTTGGTGAGCATATCTTCCAGAGAAGTAACTGCAGGTCCAAATAACCCAATACAGCCTTTGCAGGAATATGCCCACCTTCATTAAGGATGGTTCAAGATTGTGTCCATAAAGAGCTAATGGTTGAAAATAAAGTGAAGTTAGTGATTTTTCCATAATCAACCTTCTTTACTGCTGACCATTCAGCTTCATAAACCTTTATTTATTAAGCTTCAAATCTGCCAGAGCATTGTGTAAGCAGTGTACGAGGCAGGTCAAAGGGAACACACATGGAAAAGCCCCAGGCTGCACTTCCAGAAACCGTTCAGGAGGATAAGACAAGTGTTTTGCAAACTCTACACAGGAGAGTGAAGTATGCAAACAAGGTTCCAGGAAGAAAGCTCAACACCGCTACTACAGAGGCCAACACCTCAGGAGACCTAGAAGGACACGGACATTATATTTAAAGTGTGTTATTTTTTCTGATTCTAAAGCATATATACCGAAAATTAAAGTATATGTGCATACAGAAGAGAAAGTTAAAGTCTTTCACAGAAGAGGAAACATGTATTTAGTCTCACCACCAATAGTATAGTCTCACAGCCAATCAGAAAAATGAAAATTAAAACAACAATGTGATATGTTCTTTATCCACCAGAATGGCTAATACTGAAGAGTTAAGCAGTATTAAGCATTGGAGAATACACTTTTTTCATATTTGGGGGCTATAAATACTGTCACCCTCTGTTAATAGGGGTGTACATTGGAGGGGAATTTAGCACACCTGATGTAACTGAGCACGCACATGTGACCAGCAGTTCCACTTCTTGTGTCTGCCTAGTGAAACACACAGAAGCAGAAAGAAATATGAACAAAGGTGTTTACTACAGACTTTTTGTGAGGGTAAAAATTTAGAGGCATCCTAAATAGCCACCAATAGAGAGATGATAAATTGAGTGCTCATAGGATGAGATTATGTAAAAACTGGACCAAAAATGTTTGAAAAGAAGTGAGAGCATTCTTAATTCCTTAATGATAAGGACAGGATGTTGGGTGCTGACAGCATTTCAGGAGGGGGTGCCAGGAATGCTTAACATATGACAAGAGGGATGCGATCCTGACAGCTGAGAATTGCCCGCTCAGTCAATCGCACCCCCACCAAGAAACCCTGAGGATGTTTGTGTACACCACATCAAAATTGATAGATCCCAAAACAGACTGTTAAGTCAGAGGAACTAGTGGCAGGTACAGCATGATATCACTTAGTTTTAAAAAATGTTGCCCTCCCTCCAAACAGCACACACATTTACATATGAAGCTATGTAAAAGCATAAAATGAAAGTCTGAAAAAAAATACAGCCCAAATTCATAAGCATGGTTTCCTTAAGGAAAGGAATCAGGATTGAAGGTGTTAAGATTTAAGCTAGCTCAGATTTTCCTAATTAGCTTGTTCTTATGAAAAAATAACAGATTCTTATATGAACTGGTAACTAAAATTTGAAAAAAACAAAAGAGCTACTTTCCTCCTTAATGTGACCTCCAGAGATAACCCTTTCACTTATTTCAAATCTTCTCTTTCACTTATTCAGCTACTGTTTATTGAACACTGCAACTGACCTAGACCTAGCATTGGGTAGACAGAGAGAGACAGACAGACAGGGAGGGAGGAGGCTTTTTCTCTGTTAAGTCTGGTGGGGTTTAGAGGGGCAAGCTTTCTGGGAGGTAGTCCTTGGGAGGGAATGACAGGAATGAAGGCAGAGAAGCAAGAGAATGGCAGGTGTGTGTAGGGTTAGAGCACTGCACATGGCGTGAGTTATTCAGGGTGACTGGGAGGGTGAAGCTGGGGAAGATCAGGGCTGCGTTATATGCAGCACTGGGTATGACAGTTCCTTGGCTGATGGCTCTTCTTACGGCTTAATGTGCATATGCAGTAGCTCATTACAGAGTACCAATCACATGGGCCTAAAGGTCCTGTGACCGGAACTGTGTTGTAAAATTTTTTCATTTTGTTACTCTGATTATTAGGAGAAAGTCAGATTTTAAGGGGACCTGCAGCTTGCAAAATTTGGAAGTCTCTTTAAGAAAATTAATATAAATTTACAAAAAGTAAGAAAAGAATAACTATTTAGAATGTGAAATCACAAAAAATTACAAATTGGAAAAGCTAACAAATATCACATCACAAAACTGAGAAAAATATTTTCACTAATTACAGGGTGATCATAAATATTCTGTGGGTTGATGACATTTATTACCTACATGGAGATTATAAAAGATATATGCTTTTATTTTTTTTAATTAAACAATTATTAATGTTTGACTTAGTAAAAACAAAGCCACATATAATCCCGCATCACAACCATCAGCTTAGTTTAGAAATCTTTAATTTTTTACAGTGGGAGAATGAAGTCTAAACCCGAACAGGACTCCTCTCCACTCTTTGCCTGCATATTGCTAATGACAGGGAACTCACTGCTTCGTAGGCGAGCTCATTCCATACTTCCATGTTTGATGGACAGAAAACTGTAACCTTTCTGCTGTATACCTCTCAACAGTTGGTCCCAGTGCTACTTCTTGGAGTTATATAGATGATACTTCAAATAAATAATTAAAAGCATTTAAAAAGTACTCTTTCCTCTCTCCATCATCTTCAACATCTCTTTTATGACAGGCTCTTGGCTCCTTTACCACCCAGGGAACTTATCTCCTCTGAGTACCTTCCAAAATGTTTAAATCTTTCTTAAAGATAAGATCTGACATGTGAAATAAAACTTCCCAGGATCCCCCTCGTTCTGGCTCCTGGGTACACATGAAGGCCGCCCAAGGTTGTGTTAGGTTCTTGACAGTTACATCACCTGCTGAGTCACATGAACCTGCTGTTGAGTCAAACTCCCAATAAGTCATTTTCCTCTGCTGCTGTCATGTCTCTCACAGCTGCATTAGGAGGGCAATGCTTTTAGAATTCAAAGTAATAAGAAATCTGTTATTTCCGGGA